CCCGCGCCCAGCTCCCGGGGCGGCCGCGATCGCGTCGCCGGCCGGCCTCGCGTTGCGCGACCCTGACTGCGACGCAGTGGACTCCGAGCCCGCTGGAACGACCTTAACCGTGGGGCGGGCGGGCGGGGGGGGGGGTTCCCCCCGGCTTTAAGACCTGCCCGCGACCCACCCGGCCCTTCCCTCCCCGCGTGGCCGGCAGGGCGAGCCGGCTGGTTGAAGGCCCGGGCCGCTTCTTCCTAGGCACTGCGCGGGTGGTTGGCCGCTGTTTAGCTCTGCTTCACGTCTCAGTTGGCTGTGCAGGAAGCCGCCACCCTGCGGACCTTGGCTGAGAGAACATCTTCATGGTGGGGGCGACCAAACTCATCTCGGCCCATCTTAGTCCCTTTGATAGCTATTTTCCTTAGCACACTTCTGGCTGCACCCCGCCCTAAATCTAAAACAAGTGCTGTGCCATACGAAGCCAAGTCCCCACCAGTGTACATGTATCCCAGCCAGGTACGTTTTCCTTTTCTCTAGCTGTAAAAGTTCGTGTAACCTCTTTCACAATAGAAATGCCACTCTGGGGCTGGGAAGGTGGCTCAGTGGTAGAGCGCTTGCCTTGCATGCATGAAGCCCTGGGTTCGATTCCTCAGCACCACATAAGCAAAAAGAAAAAACCGGGAAGTGGCGCTGTGGCTCAAGTGGTAGAGAGCTAGCCTTGAGCTGAAGAGCCGAGGGACAGGGCCCAGGCCCAGAGTTCAGGACCCAAAAAAAGAAAAAAAAATGTCACTCTGCAGAGCTTGCATCCATATTCCCAGAATAACCTTGCTTAAAATAAACTATTATTTCCTTTAAAGTAGTTCTTTTCGTGCAAAAGCCCAATCTTAGGGACCTTATGGACAAAATGTGGAAGGTAGGCATTATATAAAAACATAAATGCACTGAAAACAATAGCTGAATGGTACAATACAAAAGGGCGGTGAGGGGAATCAAGGATAGGAAGAGAACCCAGAGCCAGATTGCTGAAATCCTACTAGTAAATTTCCTACCTCTCAAATCTGATGCCCTGCTAATTGCTTTTGCTTTAAAAGGGCTTTATGAAAACGTACCATGCCCCACATGACAAAGTAATTTTTTATGTAGAACTGAATGATTTCAATAGAAGATTCAAATACCTATTTGGCCCTATTTGTCAGTCATCTTCAAGTTGCTTCACTGAACCTAATCCAAAGAACATTCTGCTTCAAAACTAGACCTCTGTTGCTGACAATATTTTGATTCAATGTACTATCTAATATTAATTATGTTAAATTATATAATAAACAGCAAGAGAGCATTTTATGCATAAGAAAAATATACCCAATCAAAATAATCCAATGGGTCCATAATTTCAGTCTTGAGAATGGATGAACAACATATTTTACAATATACTTGAAACTCATTTCCAAACAACCATCTATTATTTTTGTAAAGATGTTCAAAATACCAGGGACAATTGTTATCTCAATTTTCAAACCATTCTCCCAAATATTACTCAATCTGTTAAAAAATATAATTCCCCCAGGCATGTTGGCTCAGGACCACAATCCAGCTACTTGGAAGGCAAAGATCTGGAGGATTAAGTTTGAGGGAATCGATTCCTAGGCAAAAAGCTTAGTGAGACCCTCATCACAACAAATACATTAGGAGTGGTAGTGTGTACTGGGTTTTCCAAGCTACCTGGGAGGAATAAAAATAGGAGGATCTTGATCCAGGCATATTGACACAAAAAACATAAAATCCTATTGAAAACCAGATACAAAAAAAATCCATTTTACCTTCAAAACAGAAAACCAGGTCAACATCCTCATAAAACTGTTAATATGTTTAAGGGTCATGAAGGCTAAAAGAAAAAAAAATAAGTGACTTATATTTGCTATCTTTTAAGCTATTCTAGAGGCTGAGATTCAGAGGACAATGGCTGAACATTATATGTACCAGCAGAAAGTAGTGCAAGGCTCACTAAGAGACACTTAACATTTACACTTAAAAAAATATTGAGGACTGAAATGACAAAGCACACACACACACAAATAAAGCTTGACAGCCTAGGCTCTGAAGTCCAAATCTAGTTTCAGACTTTTTTTTTTTTTTTGGGTCCGGTCGTGGGGCCTAAACCCTGGGCCTGGGCACTGTCCCTCAGCTCTTCAGCTCAAGGCAAGCGCTCTACCACTGAGCCACCTTCCCAGCCCAAGTTTCAGACTTTCTTTTATCTCACATAATCCCTAGGGGTCAAGAACCAAGCCAACTACAAAGTCAGTTTTATTTAGGAAGCCATCAGGACATGAAAAAGAACTATGAGTCAATTAACCATATGGCATATTTCCTCCCCAAGTTGTGGTTTTTAGAGCCCGCAGAAACAACACAAGGAAAAAATCACATATGAAGCACTAAAATGGCTTTCACCTCTTATTACAAAGAAATGTGAAAATCGAGTAAATGAACAAGTTTATTCTCATTGTGGAAAAATTTGAACATATATAGAAGGGCAATAAAATAATGAACTATGTATCCAATATTGAAGATTCAAGTTAACAACATAGGATTAGTCTTGGTGTCACTGCCTCCACCTGACACACCTTGATTTGGAATTCTTTTGAATCAAATCTTAGGCATTTTGTCATTTCATCCCTAAAAATCTCATTATCTGTCCCTAAAAAAATAATAAAAAATAATAAGGCAAGGGGGCTAGGAATGTGGCTTAGTGGTAGAGTGCCTCCTAGAAGGCATGAAGCCCTGGGTTTGATACCTCACTACCACATACACAGAAAAAGCCAGAAGTGGTGCTGTCGCTTAAGTAGTAAAGTGCTAGTCTTGAGCAAAAGCTCAGGGACAGTGCCCAGGACCTGTGTTCAAGCCCCAGGATTGGTAAATAAATGAGTAAATAATAGGGCAACGCTCAAGAAATACAACCACTATACCATGATTCACTATTATACCTAAATCACTCTCTTATAATCATCCAACATGCAGTGTTTAACATCCTCATCTGCTTTTAGAAATACCTTTTCCTGTTTGGTTTGATCATTTCTCAATTAGGGCTACATACCATATATATTCCTTCAACTGTTTATTCTCTAGGTTTCTCTGCCTTTAATTATGTTCAAGAAATCAGCGTGATCTTTGTGGATCACTTCTGGACTCATTGGATAGCATCTTAAGTCTTTGAATTCATTTCTTTGTCCCAGACTTGGTCAAATTCAGGTTTACTTTACATTAATAAATGAGATTATATACTGAGAATAAGAGTTACAAGTTATTATTATCTAATGTTCAGAGTGATTAATGGTTTCAGAATCTGAATACACTCAAATTTTCCACAGGCAATTCACTTCAAATACTTAGCTCTTATCAATGGATACTTATTTAAATGTGAAATGTGAGTGCCCTAATTCTGTAAGTCCATTTATTAATTTTGTTCTTAACACTTTGCTTGTCCTATCTATGACTGTGAATCAGTCATCTCCAAGTATCCCTGGTTCATTTAGCTGGACATGGTATTTTGATATAGTTCTGAGGACACTCCAGTACCCTTCATACCCAAAGGCTCTTCTATGTTGTTATTCCCACTCCAAATCAAGATGACAGAATTTTTACTTGATTTCACATTTATTTTTCTTACATTGAAAATTCTTATTTCTAATTACATTAGCATAGTTGTTAATTTCTAAGAAGTTTACTTTTTTTTTTTTTGGGTCCGGTTGTGGGGCCTGAACTCTGGGCCTGGGCGCTGTCCCTCAGCTCTTCAGCTCAAGGCTAGCACTTGAGCCACCCAGGGCCTCAGGCATGCAAGGCAAGCACTCTACCACTGAGCCACCTTCCCAGTCCCAGAAGTTTACATTTCTTTGTAGTCCTTTTTATCCTTGGGTCTACCCTATCCAATGGAGATGTACAAATTACTATACTTGAAAGAAAATTAAGTCCTCAATTCTATACAAAATACAGTATATGTGTTCCATCTTATTTTGGATTTTTTTTGGCTTTTGTGTTGTAAAATCAATGTAAAGTGTAGCTTCCATCTGGTTTTTGTCCACCTGGTTCCTCTTCTCCACCCCATTAAAAAAAATAAAAAACATAATTGGTAATACTGTCATTAAAAAAAATAAAAAGCAAAAAAGCAAATACTGCTAGGCGCTGGTGGCTCATGCCTATAATTCTAGCTTCTCAAGAGGCTGAGATCTGAGGATTGTGGTTTGAAGTCAGCCAAGGCAGGAAAGTCCATGAGACTCTATATCTACAATTAAGCACCAAAAAAACTGGAAGTAGAGCTGTGGCTAAAGTGGCACTAGCCTTGAGCAAAAAAGCTCAGAGGACAGTGTCAACATGAAAAATACATCTAAATATAGCAGGTCTATATATATTTTGAGAGTGGAGTGGAAAATATTTCAACAATTAATTGTAGAAGGTTTCTTCTGGGGGCATCTGCACAGAACAAACCACCAACAACAACAAAGAACCCACCTGTGATTCCTACTCACCTGGTAATTTCTGCTGATACCTGCTTCATGTCTAGATGTCCAGGGTGACTTGAATTAGGAAAATGCAGTTCTTTCAAACCACAAGAGTTTGTTACTCAATTGTTCAGACTGATGAGCTTTCTAATATTTGCATGCTGAATGGCATATGCCTATTCATAGAACTATTCAAACACTAAGGAAAATGATAGCTAACTCTTGTACTCTTACCATGGCTAGGCGCTGAACTCATACTTAGGTACTATTAATATTACTGTGTTAAAAATTAGATTAAGGCACGCAAAAAGTAACTGATTACATGCTTAAACAGTTAGAAAATATAAGGTCTGTGATTTGAACTTGGGTATTTGGGCTTCAGAACCCACAATCCTTGAGCTTTTGCTACATTGTCTAAAAAGTTATTAGAAACACAAGAAAGAATATTCTTAAGTTAACATTATAAACTGAGTTGATAAAAGTTTTTGTTCTCATGTACCAGTGAAAAAGGGAACAAGATAAAAAAACAGGAAACAAGTTAGGGGAATATGATTTTATTTTTTAAGAAAAATTATATGTTCTAAAACATTTGACATTTCACTATAAGTAGAAAAAAACTAGATACTTAAAACCAGGATAAATACATCATTTATACTTTAACTATGGCGATACTGAATGTATCTTCATGTAATACTTCCTAGTAGGACATATCGTACTGTCTTCAAAGATTACAGGGAAGGGATACTACAGAGCTAGAGAATCCTGGATTCTGTGGCACAGGAGTACCTCATGGGAGCTAGAAAGGGGCACTTGGATTGTAGCAACAAAACAACAATAAGCTAAAGTGTGTTAACGTGCTTTTAAAATGCCAGTAAACAAATATAAAAATGTCTTTAGACACAGCTCATAACTGAATGCTCATCAGATAATTCATAGGTCTATAAAGCTAGGAATGTAATTTGATGGTTAGATTTTTAGTCATGATTCCCATCTCACTCTAATGTATTCAGAGGGCTATACAAAAAAGTCAGTTTGTTTCATCAGTCAGCATTAACTCATTCACAGTAGTCAGAAACTTCATAAATGTGCCAAAACAGAAAAGTCCTTAACTAAGTTTAAAACCTAGTTCATGTGAGAAAATTCATACAGTAATGAATCATACAAATTTAAGCATTATAAAAAGTCCTTTAGCAGAGTTTACATTTTCGTGAACATTCAAAATGATGAAAAATGATTTTTAGTGGAAATAGAAAAAAGCAAAAACTACTAAACACCAGCATCAATACATAATTCATACTTGATTGTGACTCTATTAAATGTATCTCATAATGCTATCTCATACAGTGTTAAACTGAATACAGAGACTAGACAGCTATAGAATCCTGTAGCAGTCTGTGGCAAATGGGTTACCCTTACTTGGGGGTGGGTAGGAATGGGTCCCAAGGAAGTGGAAAAAGAGGAGAGAGAAATGTAAAACGGGTTTTTAAAAATGCAACAAGGTCTTTGGGTAGCACTCACACACATTAGTAAGTTCCACACTGAAGAGAAATGCTTTATATATAGCAAAACTATCACTCATTCCTTAATTCACTATTAGAACTTCCACAAGAGCAGTTTTATGAATGTACTGAATATCAATGGCATTAACCAACAAGGTGGAATTTGAAGACTTAAAGACATAAAGGCAGTAGACAAGTGCTTGATGTGCCTTCCTAACCACTCTAAATAATACAGCACCCATCCCTAAGTCACATTAGCCCCTTATTCCCTGCACCATTCTTCATAGCAGCCATCACTTGACGCACTATGTATTTCTCCACTATAACAATATAAACTCCAAGAGAGTGCTCACAAAGCTACATCCTCAGCACCTAGGAAAAAACATGGCAAGCAGTAGGACCACATAGGTGTTCAATGAGTCAATTATAGTAATTTCCTTATGCAGAATACTTGGTGTTGCTTTAATGCATAGAAAAATGCGTTGTTTTTAATATACCAGAGTAAAAAAACATTGTAATTACTATGGCCTACAAATCGGTTTTCCAGTATATGGGGGGGGGGGAGAGGAGGGAATGACTGTACTCTGTAAGAAAAGCACCCAGAAAACCCTCATAATTGTACCAACCAGTGAGTCCACAGGGCCAAAAAAAGGCAAGTACCCTGCTTCTGCAATGAAGCTCTTGTTTTCTCAGGTTGGGAACATAAGTAATACTTGACTCCTGTGAAGGCTGTACACATCCTTATTTGCCTCGTCAGCCACTGGTGAAAAGGGCATGGCAGTTTGAAATCCAATAGCAGCAACACTTTTGTGCAGTTTGGCATTGAAATCTTGCCTCATTAATTGAAAAAAACAAAACAAAACAAAACAAAACACTACCAGGGGCCTACCATGCATTAAGCATTAAAAGTAAAAGTAAATTTCAAAAGTATGAAGTTCTCAGTAGTATAGAAAATAACTACAAAGTAATGGGATAAGTTCAATAACATGGGGAAGAGGCTGAGGGAACATAACAAGAGTACCTGATTCAGAGCGAAAGAGTGATTTCTGGCTAAAAAAAGAAAAAAATTTATTGGAGGAGCTGGGAATGTGGCTTAGTGGTAGAGTACCTGCCTAGCATGCATGAAGTTCAATTCCTCAGTACCACATAAACAGAAAAAGCTGGAAGTGGTGCTGTGGCTCAAGCAGTAGACTGCTAGCCTTGAGCAAAAAGAAGCTCAGAAACAGTGCCCAGGTCCTAAGTTCAAGCCCCAGGACAGGCAAAAAAGAAGAAAAAACAAAACAAAAACAAAAGACAAAAAACCCTCATTGGACATGGAAGCTTTATCTCAAAAATAACTAGGAATTTGCTTGTCATACAAATAAAAGAACACACAAATACTAAATTCTATAAATGTATTAGGGTTGATAAATTTGAGGAAGGAATGGAAGTACTTGTGATTACTTGATCATCATATCTAAAAGGAAAAGGGAACGTCTAAGACTGGCCTGTGTTAAAAAGAATTTAAATCTTTATAATTAAAAAGAAAAGGTATTTACATGATAAAATTTACTAAAATGCTAATTACATAGGAAAAAAATCTTCAGACTGGTGTAAAGATAAGTCAAGAGACCTGCAGAATGGGGAGTTTCCCTTGCCACCAAGATTCTATAAGCATTCATGTTTGTTACAAAAGAGCCTGGGCCAGGCTCACTCCTGTAATCCTAGCTACTCAGGAGGCTGAGATATGAGGATCATGGTTTGAAGCCAGCCTAGGCAGGAAAGTCCATGAGACTCTTATTTCCAGTGAACTTTTCAGAAAAAGCTGGAAGTGACACTGTAGTTCAAAGTGGTAGAGCTAGCTTTGAGCTAAAGCAGCTCTGGGACAGCACTATGCCTAGGCCCAGAGTCCAAGCCCCAGGACCAGCAAAAGAAGTCTGGTATTTTTAATCTGTTAGGATCACAGAGTTGAACACAAAACCTATAGAAATGAAGTGGGGAAAGTAGATATTGTTTGAGAAAATATGAAGCAGAAAAGCTTTTCAGGAATATGGAAGTTATTTGTATACACCAAATTTAAAATTACTATGGTATGTTTGTCTAAGTGAAGACATTCAATAGGCAGTTAGAAAGCAAGAGGAAGATTGGAGTTCAACCCAACCTCCTTCTATGGTGGTATAAGTAATGGTTATTGTTATGAATGGCATCAGAGAGTATTTTAAAGTAAAAGCAAAAAAGAAAAAAAAAAGAAGAGAAATGGAGAACAGAACTCTAGAGATCACTAACAAGAAAGCTAGGTAAAAATGAGAAGTCACAAATGAGTGACGATATATCATGAATGAAACCTGTAGCATTTATTAGTCTTCAATAGGAAGCAGGCAACTTCTTTTCTTCCAAAATAGGAGAAAATGAGTGAGGTTTGTAACTGTTAGTTGACTTCTTTATGGTGTCAGGTTTCTGTACGACAGGAGGAAAGGCAAAGAGCCTGAGGAAAGTGAGATGAGAAAATCTGGTTGAGCAAAAATGGGGGAAAAGAGACCACCCTAGTAACAAACAAAAGGCTTACAGTAAGGGTCCTTCTAAAGTCAAATGACACACTTGTAGTGTTCTACTCTGAAGGGATGCATTTTAGACAAGCTTGGTCTAGGAATGATTCAGTATGATAGGCTCACAGAAAGACTAGACAAAAAGATAAGACCAAAGAGGAAAACAACAAGTGCCCTCTGTCCATATGGTGTCCATGAAGCTGAGGGCAAAGAAGAAAAGCTGAAAGAGGTTGATATAATAGTTCAGGAGGGAAGTCAAAGAGAGGAAGTCTGCAAAAATACTATAGCTGTATAGTGAAAAGAACAAAAAGAGCACAACAAAACCAAGAAAGTCAAGGTTGAAAGATGAGAATTATTATTAGCTACTAAAGTTTCAAAGAGAGAGAGTAGGACAGTTAATGTTCAAGGCGATGACCACTGGGAGTAAGTTGATGGAATGTGATGAAGTCATTAGGACAGACATCCTGTATATCAGCAAAGAATTGGGCACAGGCTCTCAAGACGACAAGAGTTGAGGTAGGCAGAAAGACAGTGAGCAGGACAGCAAATTTGGCTCTGTGGCCTCTTAAGATTTTACCTCCACTATGAAAGACAGAAAATATTAAAATTTCAATACTATATGAAAAGATAGTCCCTAAAAACATTTCAACTAGTGTTAGACTAAGATAACTTGATTTCTATCTTCATTATTTGAGAAACTATGCATTTCATTTTAAACAGAATAAGAAAAATCATTTTGAAAGTTTGCATTAAATGCCTAAATAGAAATTCTAAATAATGTTAGTAATGTATGACAAAGTAATCAAATACAATTCCCTTGTGGAATCTTCTATTGTTCTGAATGTAAGTCATAACCTTTCCTTTTGCCTACATCTATATTCATACTACATATTCAAAGCAATAAGGTAATGGATTCTAATCTTTGAAGCATGGCTAACTTCCAGATGGAGATTAAATTTTGTGTTACATACATCATACATCAACAAAAATAAATAAATAACAATCCATCTGGGCGTGGAGAACACATCCATAAAACTGGCACTTGAGAGGCTGAGACAGGAAGATTTTGAGTTCAAGGCCAGTCTGGGCTACATAGTGAGTTTGTGGCCAGCCTAGGTTGCATACAGTGAGATCCTATCTCAAAACAACACTAAAAAACCAAGACCTAAAATTAAAACCAAAAAACAAAATACCTAGAAAAATACTTGGTAAAGCTAAATTGTGTTTCTCCTTACAAGTGATGATATCTGTAATTCAAGCTAAGTTAGAGTAATATACATATGCCATTTAAAAATTAAAGAATCATTTCTTCACATGTTTGAGTATATATAATGAGAGATGATAGTGTTTAGAGAAGGATAACCATACTGAGTATTTCTGAAGTGTGAATCTTTTTCAAAATTAGTGGCAGTATCTCTTTTGAACCCTTATTTTCTATTTCATAGGTCTTCTTGTCTTTCTGATTAAAAAGAATTAGGTAAACTACTAGTTACATTGATGCTGAAAGAAGTTTAAAATTTGTTTTGCATTGGTTGTATTCCACTCTTGTTCTTTCAGGGGTCCTTCACACACGGATACATACTTTTTCAAAATTTTTTCTCCTACTTCTCGGAAATCCAAGGATTCTTTGTGTGAAGTGCAGCTTGCTCCAGAAACACCAGTATCCACTTCATGATTTTCTGGCTGGTGATCTGCACAATACTTCAATCCCCAGTAGCACATTTCTCCACTGTACATCATTGCCAGCAAGTGAATATCACTGAATATTCCTGAGAGGGTCATTATTTTGAACAGATCAGAATTAAGTTTTAAAAATAACTTAGTTATTAAAAATAATAAATTCCTTATCAAAAAGTGTATTTCATCTCATTTAATAATACTTAGAGAAATCCCAGACCACTAATACAATTCTAATTTAACCAATATTTCTATCAAGTTACTTATAAAAGAAGTTCATCATCAAAAATGAAGAGTATTCACATAAAAAAAAAAGTAAAGAACCATTTAGATAAGTGTTTGTTGCATTTCTCTTTAGGACCTATTTGACAATTAATTTTATCAGTGGAAAGCCTGGTAGAAATCGATTTTCTTTGACAGGGCCTTTGGAAAAATTTGCCTATGAAAAAGTAGGTTTCCTACTTCCTAATTTAATGATGTACAAGGAGATGGATTTGGGAGAACAATCTTCTTTATGTAAGAGGCTGACACCAGATAACGACTATGACAAAATGGTTGTGCTGCCTATAAGGTTTACTGCTTCCTTGGGAAATGCTTAAAGACCAGATCTGACCCCTTGATTCCACTGTTAAAGAGGCAACTGAAGCTAGGAGTACGTGTGTTTAAATCATCTGGAGAGATAGCACCAGTGTTACAGGCCTCCCAAAGGGGAAATTCCAGGCCACAGAATATCTTCTCTTCTAACTAGGAGAGGATGAGGAATGGGTGACTTATTTTTTAGATTCTAAAATCCTAATCTTTCTTTTCAAGTGTCCTAGATTAAGAGTTCAGTGGAATTGGCCATGTAGGCAGTTTGAGAAGACTTTAAAGACTATTTTAAATTAATAACTTCATTAGTTATCTAGAGTTTATTTTCCATAAATACATCAAAACATTGTATTTGTCAAATGTCATGCCCGCTGAAGGAGTTCTTGGACGCGCATTAAGTTGTTTTTAGATGGATGTCAATCTAAATTAACTTAAAACAATATTTGTTGGACATTACAAGAAAGAGTCCTGGCTCTATGTGAATGCCATTTAAACACACCCTGTGTTTTGGTTTCTGCTTTACATGAAATATTTTCAAATTAGGAGAAAAGGCTTAGAGAAACTAATAAACAGAAAATATTAAAATGTATTTTAAGATGATAGAATTTTCCCAAGAAGCTATCTTATTTAAAATTCTTAAGTTTCAGATGAAGCATGTAAGAATATGAAGTTTTACTATGATTTTTATATCATTTGCAACTAGATGACCTTGATCAAGTCACTCAGTTTATCTGGACTTCAATTCCTACATTTATAAAATATAAACTATGCTCTCTGTATCTGGTCCCTAGACCTGTAAGTTTCTGCTTATAGCAGAAATGTAATAATCATTCCCCTAGCCTTCCTTGGTAAAAAAATTTTCACTTGGGATAGCAATATATCAAATGAAGAACTATATTTCCCAGACTTCCTTGCAGGTAAGTGAACTGCATGTAGAAGTGTTGTAATACACTTTTGTAAAGGCTGAGCTAAAGGAGCAAAGATAGCTGAAGCATATTTTCTTCTATCATCCTCATAGCTTGAAATAGAGGAGATGGAAGAGCCTCCAAGAACATCTTGGGATACTGAGAATGGAATAGGGATGTATGCTATACAACTCTGAAAATACCATTTATATTGTACTTTTTATAAATTGTTTCTACTTCGAAGCTAAAGACTCCGGTTATAAATGTGATGGAGGAAATGATAAGAGTAAGAAGGAAACACTGTGCTAGGTCTGGACCTTACGACGTGAAAGAGCATAAATGTCTTCCTTGTTTAAAAGTTATTATTACTGTGATATGAAGAGGCAAACCTATTTCTGGTCAAAGCAATGCGAAGATACAAAATAAGTAAAATTATGTAAAACATAATGCTCCTAAACCACAGAGATTACAAATATTTTTCTATATTACACGAAATTGTAACTTTTTAGCTTCTTAAGAAGTTTTTACCTCTAACTTAGCATAAAGTTTATATAAACCCAGCATTAGTTTCGCAAAAGTAAAAGCCAGAAAATTTCCTAAAAATCTTAAAAAAAAAAATACTGGTGGCTTACACCTTTAACCATACTATACTTAGGAAGCTGAGATCTGAGAATCATAGTCCTAAGCTAGCCTGGGCAAGATAGTACATGAGAGACTCTTACCACAAAATAGCTACCAAAAAAAGCCAAATGTAGCATGTTGGAGCACTGGCCTTGTGCAAAAACGTTTGGGGATAGCACCTAACCCCTGAGTTCAAGCCCCAGGACCAGCACCAAAAAAAAAAAAGGGGGGGGAAAAGATCACATTACCTGCACTTAGTAATTTAGCTGTGTCTAGGTCTTGGAAAGAAACTCCTTCATTTAACTGGATAGGACAACGATAATTTAACATCTTCAGCAAGTAATTGATTCCATCAACAAGGTACTAAGTAAAAAGCAAAGGCAAAGAATCAAATATCTAATGGTTATTGTATTTCAGTATGCTTCTACCACTCCAAAGTTTTATAACATCAATCAATATATCCCTGTATATCACTTAAAATAGAGTACAGGGAAAAAAAAGATGTTTTTATCTATCTGTCTGTCCACACACACACACACACACACACACACACACACACACGTCTGTCGACACACACACACACACACCTGAAAAATGTAAAAATGTTTTAGTAATATACTCTTCAAAAATGTTAGGAGAGGCCAGGAGCCGGTGGCTCATGTTTGTAATCCTAGCTACTCAGGAAGCTGAGATCTGAGGATTGCAGTTCAAACCCAGCCCAAGCAGGAAAGTCTGTGAGACTCTTATCTCCAATAAACCACCAGAAAAACTGGAAGTGGCTCTGTGGCTCAAGTGGTAGAGTGCTTGCCTTGAGCTGAAGAGCTGAGGGTCAGTGCCCAGGCCCAAAGTTCAAGCCCCACGACCAACAACAACAACAACAAAAAGTTATCAGAGGAAAACAAAATATAACTAAGATGTATTCAAAAACAACTTAACACCTAATGAAAATACATATGCACTTATTATAACTTAGAAATATTATGCCTAAATTTCAGTAACTGATAGTGTAAGCTCCAATACATACTTAACCTGAATTAGAACCCTTAGAATACCAAGCACCCTGGTTTGTTGGAATCAGTCTACTTGAGTCAGAGGGTGCTAATGTTCTAGAACAGCAGCACAGAGAATCTTCTATAGTAACTGCTGATATCCAGAGACTCAAATGTATTTTCTTCAGGCAAATTTACAAACTTTGATATTAATATAGGTTATCTTATATTTTTTAAAAATCAAATAAAATATAAAAAATAAAATCAGGATCCCTGATCAGTAAGTGCTTTCTCATTTAGTCTTTACAGCAATTCTGGTCCGTTTATGATACAGCTAATAAGTAAAAGAGGTAAAAACTGATCCTTGGATCCCTCTACTGTTAACGTAACACACAGCTTTGGGAACCTATGCCAACAATCAAAATATGTATGAAATGTCTTTTTACCTTTTTAAGCAAACTGTTTTTTCTCAAGAGCCACTCCCTTCTCTTAGTCAGAGAATGACAATACATGTAGAGCAGGGCTCCTCGCCTCCAAGAGAGGCATTCCAGTAACTCGTCCCCAAGCAAATCACAAGGCTGAAACAAGAGGACAGAGCTAAAAGGAGATACTTGATATCTACAAGTCATGTTTCAAAAACTTCAGCAACTAAAAACTCATTTCACTAAATGTACCATGTTCGGCTAATTTACACAGAAATGTAGAATTGATAAAAATACTTAGTGACAGCTACATTAAATTTAACTCAATTTATAATTAGCTTTACAAAATCATGTTTAATATTTTAGCAGCAAATTACTCTGACAAATTACTCTGAGAAATATACAATCCATAAATTGATTAAAAATAATCTTTCACAAAAGCAGAAAGAATTCAACAATCTAGATAGAAAAATAATTTTAATGAGTCAATGTTTTTTATTGGTCATACCAAGGGTTGATTTACGGATGATTTCTTTCCACAGTGAGCCTGCCCTAATACATAGACAGAACAGAGGTGGCATCTAGCTAGTCAGCAGGCACTAAAAGGTAAGAAACTGTTTTCTTGAAAGAGTGCCCAGGACTAGAGAGAGAAACCTTGAAACCATCTACATAGAATGACAATTTAAAAAGCATGTGAAGCTGGGCGCCTATGACTCACATCTGTAATCTTAGCTACTCAAAAGGCTGAGATATGATGAAGTTCTAAGCCAGCCTGGGCAGGAAAAAAAAGCAGCCTGTGCCTCAAGTAGTTGAGTACTAGCCTCCAGCACAAAAGCTCAAGGGACAGTGCCCAGAAAGGCCCTAAAGCTCGAGCCCCAGGACAGGCACACACATAAAAATTAATTAAATTTAATTTTAAAAAAGCATGTGAACAGGCTGTAAAGACAGAACAGAGATGCGCAGAAGACGTGGACATCTTTGAGGACTATTATAACTATTTATTATATAAAAAAGCTGCTGGGGAAAGAGTAAGAGAAGGCTTGTCAAAGATGAAAAAAAAACATATGGGAGATGGGTAATTGATTCCTGGGGGAAATAAAGCAACTGCAAAAGTAAAGAGGGTAAGTAGGGAATATCTTACGTTAGTGTACTGCAATTACATTTTATTTTGCCAATGTGAAAATATTAAGAAAAATACATTTTACTGACTCAGTAAAGATATCCTGTGTTAAGATATCCTGTCTCCTTCCTCCAATATTAATTTAAAGCAGAAACCAAGGAAGTATGGCAGGCATAGTGGCTGCAATCCGAGTAATTTGGAGGCAAAGATCAGAAGTCTCATTCAAGGATAGCCTTGGCAAAAAAATAAAAAGAGAGAGAGAAAGTTTGCAAGATTCCATCTTGATCAGTGGGTGGAAGTGTGGTGCTCATCTGTTAGTCCAGCAACTCAGGGAGCACAACCAGAAGGATGACCACCAGGATAGTCAGAACATACGGCAAGACCGATCTTGAAAATAACACAAAAAGGGGCTCGTGAGGTGGCTCAAATGGCAGAACATATGACCTCTGTTCAAACCTAAGTACTACCAATAAAAATGTTTTTGAAATGCCTGAGCACTGGTTGCTCATGCCTGTGACCCTAGCGTTTCAGAAAGCTGATCACAGCGAGGCTGAGGATCACAGTTTGAAGTCAGCCCAGGCAGAAAAGTCCATGAAACTCATCTCCAAATAACACCAAAAAAACAAAAGTAGAGGAAGAGCAACGCCTTAAACAAAAAAGCTAAGGGCACAACTCAAAAGATAAAGTTTCTTGGAAAGTCCAACATAATAAACACAGGGAAAAGAATACTCAGGAATAGAGTCAAGGGGAGAAGAGGTAAATAAATAAGAGAGAGAAGTGAAGAGAATACACACATAAAATTCAATGCACACCCTACAAAACTAAGAAAATTGGGGGGAGGGGTAGGGTTGGGAAGGATTTTAGGGAAGAATGATGAAAGGGGTGATATCTGGGGCTGGGAAGGTGGCTCAGTGGTAGAGCACTTGCATTGCATGCATGAGGCCCTGGGTTCGATTCCTCATCACCACATAAGCAAAAAGAAAAAAGCTGGAAGTGGCGCTGTGGCTCACGTGGTAGAGCACTAGCCTTGAGCTGAAGAGCTGAGGGGCAGCACCCAGGCCCAGAGTTCAGGCCCCACAACCGGACCCCAAAAAATAAAAAAGGGGGTGATATCAATCAAGATGCATGGGATTCATACTGCTGTGCTGAATGGCAACTCCTTTATACAACTACTTATAGATAATAAAATGTAATTTTTTTAAAAAAAGCTAAAGGTTCAGACTGAGTTTAAGCCCCAGTACCAACATGTGAAAACACACACCACACATACAAATAGCTTAGTTAATTACATATTTAAAAAATAGAAACAATGATATATTCAAGGGGATTTTAAAAATATTCTAAAGAAAAGGATAGTAAAAGCTAGCAATAGTATACTAGAATTCATACAAATGCAAAACTTACTTTTGAATGTACACTGTTTTCCTTAACTAAAATTTCTGGTTCTGAAAGAAAACTGATCAGTTCTTTTACTTTCTGTGAAGAATCTTCAGGAAAATCTTCATCTACTAGCTTATTCTCCTCAAAATAGGTCATGTCCAAAATAGCCTATGGGAAAAAGAGGAAAAAAGCACCTATAAATGACACAAACTTGAAAGAATAAATGTTAGGGTTTAACTTTACAGATAGGGAAGAGAAATGATTTAGTGGACATTCAAACCTTCTAGCCCAGTATTTAAATTTGCAAAATGTCTAGCTATAAAGGTAATTTGAGATGAAACCTATAGAAACTTTCATAGATATTTTACTAAAATACTACTAAAATGATGACCTTGTTTAAGGGGGAAAAATGAAGCCAGGCGCTGGTAGCCTATTACTCAGGAGGCTGAGACCTGAGGAACACGGTTTCCAGCCAGGCAGGAAAGTCAATGAGACTCTTTATCTCCAATTAACTACCAGAACACCCTAAGTGGCACTGTGGCTCAAGTGGTAGAGCGCTTGCTTACGCTAAAGAGTTCAAGGACAGCACCTTTGCCCTAAGTTCAAGCCCCATAATCAATAAGAAAGAAAATGAGACTGATTGATTTTTAGTGGTACTGGGTATGAACTCAGGGCCTTAAACTCTCACAAGCTTACCACTTGAATCACTTGGAGATAAAGTCTTAGAAACTTTTCTGCTTCCACTAATTTTGACTAACTTTGAACTGAGATATTTCTGATCTCAGATTCCTGAGCAGCTAGTAGTACAGGCACAAGCCACTGGCATTGGCTAAGATTTGTTTTAATTAACATTTTTTAATCATATGATCAAAAATGGTTATACTCTCTGGTCTTTATACATGCATAATCTCTGAAGTCTTTCTCAATGCCTACAATACTAATGGTACCACCTCTAAGTTTCATTCAATTAACAAATAAAATGCTGGACTAGAGGTATGGCTTGAGTGGTAGAGCACCAGCTGTAAGCAAGTCTAGCGAAAGCATGAGTTCAAACCATGGCACCAAGACAGAAAAAAAAAAGAGGGAGGGCAGGATTCTTAATATGCTGATACTAGGTAGGGGGAAATCATATTTAGAATTCTAAGGAAAGGTGAATTTCAAAGAGAAAAAAACATATGGCCATAAAGTCTCCAATACCCATAAAAACCTTCAAGATATCTTAAGATACTACATGCATTAATATTCTCCCTAATTATCCAGTAAAAGTAATTAATATTCTATTGATACAGCTAATAAATCTCTCTCCTTTGCATACTGCTTCCAAGTTTCAAGTCTATATACATTTTAAGAAAACAACAACATGGAAGTGGTGCTGTGGCTCAAGTGGTAGAGTACTAGCCTTAAGCTGAAGAGCTGAGGGACAACGCCCAGGCCCAGGGTTCAAGCCCCAGGATCAATCAAATTAAAAAAAAAACAACTAACAACAAAGTTCAACATTCCCATAAAGATTAAACAGACTTTACTACATTTAAAGTTTGGAGTCTACCACCTAAATAAATTGCTTTCAAAATGTCTGTGTTCACATCTGGTTTAGTACCTGTGTATAAAGTTCTAGAAGATTTGATGGATTTGAATGTTCTTTTTCTTCTCCACACAAGTGCTTCAACTTTTCTAGAGCTGCAGAGGCCCGAATTAAAAAGTGATCTGTAAGAAATAAAAACATAATTACTTCACATAGATTCAGACTGCATTTGAAACATCAAAAGAAGTTATATGTCTAAAAAGATCAAACAAGATTATTTTATAACATACGGATGAACAGCAAAGCAGTAATAATATCTTTCTCAAACATGAAAGTATATCACAATACCCAACTGAAGTAAACAAACGTATTATGGGCATTTGTTCTAGGAAGAAAAAACTGAATTTTTCCTAGATTCACTATTGCTATTTCTTAAATCCTGTCAATTTTCTCACAATGTTTCTTACATATTAAGTATTTAAAAAATAAATTTACAACTTTTACTGGAATGGGACAAATACTATATGTAAATCTAGAGCTCTCAAGGAAAATATGTAACTATGAATTTACCTGTAAATGTTTTCTAAAAGAACATGATTGTCCAAATCAAATCTTCATGAAATTATGAGCACTATAAGCAAAGTTTGTTAAATATGCCTGTAATCACAACTCACCCAACTTCTACCTTCAGTCTTTTTTTACCCCCTTTCTCTATCACACTCCCTTTGCTACATCTGATTTCAGATTTTCTTATGTGCCCATACCAAGCTATTATCCACCCTTTTGTATCACCTCATGTAGTAAAATTTAGTATATGCCTACTATAGTAAAGGACGCCAAAGTCTCTGCAATTTTCTTCTGAAAATATAGGTCCTGTCCTCTTCATTGGCCAACAGACAGATAATGTAACATTTGTTCTGGCCTTATCAGATCCAACACCTCAGCAATTACACAGAGCTAACCTGCTTAGTGTTGAAGCAAAACTAGTTATGTCACATCCACTTGCAATCATATGATGATCTTTAGTTTTTCCAGGTTCAGACTAACCTGAAAGTTCAGCAGATTCTGACTACCATCGATCCACTATGTACATCATCTGAAACTTCTTTAGCTGCCTTCCCTTCTCTTTTCAAGCTAGAAGTAGCAACCACACAACCATGAAAAGACTCTATTGTGAACCAAAATTGTATGGAATACTGGTACTCATTATGTGCTTCTAAAGAGACTGTCTATATTTTTTTTCTTTTTTGTGTGACACTTGAGACTGAATCCAGTGCATTGTAGGCAAACACTGAAGCCACCCTACCAGCCTTTTTGTCTATATTTTGGTTTTGAGATAGGGTCTCACTAACTTCGTCAGGGCTGACCCTGCACTCAAGATCCTCTTGCCTCCACTTCCTGAGTACTTAGGATTAAATGCATGTACTACCACACGTGGTTGCTGTTCACATTTTCTTAAATTCCAAGATTATATTAAATGTAAAGTCTTGTACTGAACTCACTAAACCACTGCTGAAGAAGTATGTCATATAAACTCATGATGTGGTGGTGGTGGCATACCTACCATTTCAGAAAAGTCCATATAAATGCACTATTTTGCAAGGTGTGTTAACACATGCCTAAAATCCTAGCATTCAGGAGCAGAAGGACCCAATATTCACTGCATGGTGAGTTTCAAGCAAGCTCAGACTACATAGGGAGACCCTACTCAATAAAAAAGCATTAATTTTTGTTATAACTATTTAGCCAAGGTAATAAACGACAGGGCAAAAGATGAAAGTAATTCTTACATAATCTCTAGAAAAAGTCTTTTCTCCTATAGCATATCTCCAGTTTAACATCCTAATAGAAAAATGACTTGCTGTTAATCTGATTTAAGACACTAGAACTATCAATCATTACAACCTACTATAATTATATCATTGTTACATGCAAGGACAATTTTAATGTTATTCTTTTTGTTGTGTAGGAAAAGAATGCCAGGTTAAATTAAAATGGATGTAACTTTGTTTTAACTAAATTTTGTAAATCTTACTATCAATACTTTAGTAATAGCTACTGCTATGACTTTAGTAAATTTTTAGATACATAAGTCTTCCAAAAATAAATATACAACAAACATCTGACTTTTATCTCCAGTTTTCATTGTAGATTGGAGTACTCTTCCAAAGGAAAATAGAAATGGTTTGGGGATCCAACAATAAGTGAATAAAAAACCACTCTTTGATTTCTTTATCCTGGTCCAAAGAGACTTAGCGGTAACCTGGGTATACTTCCAGGTAATAGCTACTAGTTACTACTCATGAACTAGCTATTGATGTAAATCCTAAGATTCACTTACCACAAACCAAAAGAGAAGTAGGCTTCAGTGTGGTCTATGGGTCTTTGATGAACATACTCCTAAGAAGAGATAATCCAGCAAACAATCTTCTCTGAAACTAGGTGTTTTCATTGTAGATCCTAGTCAATAAATATACCAAGTATTTAATCTCTTGGGAAAATGTCCCACTACTGCTTGCCTATGAGTCCGATCACAAATTAGTCCACAAGAATTTTAAAGCCTATGTGTGTTTGTGTAGGAAAAGCTCAAACCTGAAGGGGAGCAACGCAGAACCTACAGGCAACTGAAAAGTCATAAAAGGACCCAGAAGTCACAAGACCGAGATCAATTCCTAAACCAGGTTTTCCTAAAGAATAGACGTTCCAGAGCACTTATTCGCCTATCCACAGGTCCCTTCAAATGATGCACATGAAAGACTCATCTGAAAGGCACCAACAGAAAGCTTTCTGTAGAATACTGTCCACTGCTGAGTTCGGCAGCGAACACAACACAGGTTTCCAGCGCAGGAAGGAAAACGTGGAGCGTGCGATCCGTGCCCGCGGGATGCGACCTCGCCACGGCTGGGATCCCGCGGGGCTGACCACTCCCTGAAAGCCTCCAGGGTACTTCCAGCCCTGTGCTCACCGGTGTGGCTCACCAGCCTCCCGATTATGAAATGCGACTTGGGAAGAAGCGGAGCGCTGACAAGGTACGTTCTCCCGACGGGCGGCGACGGCGCGGAGTGGGCCGCGGAGGGGGAGCGCCAGCGCTCGGGGCGCCGAGCCCGGGACCCCCGAGCGCGCCCAGGGCCCCAGGCCGCGGTCTCCGCTCCGCACGGCCGCCGAGCGCCCGCCCGCACGGCCGTCCTCCCCGCCCGCCCGCCCGCCCGCTCTCCTCTCCCTCACCGTCTTCACCCGCGGCTTCGCTGAGCTGCTGTATGTGGGCCTGAGCCAGGTCCCCGAGCTCTTCCACCCGCCGCACCACGCCGGAGACTGCGGCCGCCATGGCCACAACAGGCGGCCGCGCCCAGGCCACGTGACTCCGCTGCATGAGGTCATGTGATCCCTCAGCACAGGCCGCGTGGGGCGGAGCTCCCACGCGGGAGGGAGGGCCGGCCCCGCAGAGGTCGTTCCGGGTATTCTCTTCCTCCCAGACGCGGCTCCCTCCCTCCCATAATCCTATGCAGAGGCTCTCCGCCACCCCCCCCCCCCCCCCCCGCCTTCTCCACCCCGCCGGATGACGTGGAGCCACACCTCCCTCCCGCCTTCTTCTCTAACCCAATCAGAAACCAGTCATGCCCGAGGCTGACCCAATGAGAAGCCGGCTCTCCGTCGGCGCCGGGCAAGGAGCAAGGCAACTCTGCCAGTTGGCAGGAAGGGGGCGGGCCGAAAGTCTAGACAAGGAGGGCTGTTGGCTTTGGCTTTGTAATGAGGGGTGCCTAAAATAAAAATGATTATAGTCCGTGGTCAGGAAGGAAGCTGCCAGGCCCTGTGTGGCACAACTAAGGCTAGATTGTCGGGAGAAGGGGTCGAGGACGCTCGGGGCTCCAAACGAGTGGCAGTTCTGCATATCGCTTTTTCAGTCTTTGTGTGTGTGTGTGTGTGTGTGTGTGTGTGTGTGTGTGTGCCAGTCCTGGGGCTTGAACTCAGGGCCTGGACACTGTCCCAGAGCTCCTTTTGCTCAGGGCTAGCACTCTACCACTGAGCCACAGTGCCACTTCCAGCTTTTTCTGTTTATGTGGTACTGAGGAATAGAACCCAGGGCTTCGTGCACGCTAGGCGAGCATGTTCCACTGAGCCACCCTCCCAGCCCTGCAGATCGCTTTTCTAAGTATGGTTTTTAGCGATCGACTTCATCTCCCAGTCCCTGGCTGCCTCACAGTACGAGTATTTTAACGGTCCCGAGTCCCACGGTGCCGAACGTTGCAGCTGTGCCACGATTTCGGTTGCCCTTGTCCTTGGGCCAAGTCACTCAGTCCCTGGGAGACTCAAAACACTCAACAACAACAACAACAAAAATAAACAAAACTCAGACGAATATTTCCCATTCCCCCGACTGCTTTCTTGCCTCTGGTCAAACAGACCGTGAATGAGGCTTACTGGTTTTCAGTTTGACACATATATCTTGAATTAACTCCATCCTAACCTATTTCTTATAAGGTGGTGGTGATTATTCAATAGAAAATACTAAAAGGCAAATGGAATGTTGTGGCTTACAGGTAAATACAATGACTTTCCTCCTTCTGGCCTTTGTAAAGGCAGTTTCTTCCTCTGTCAAGTAACTCTATATGAACAAAAATCATACAATATTCCTTTAGTGTTTCTACCAGTGGCTAGCATATAAGAAATATAAATACTCAGATAATGAAATGAAGAAGGAAAGAAAAAATGAGGGAAGGAAGGAAGGAAAAGGAAAGAAGGAAGGAAGAAGGAAGGAAGGAAGGGAGAGAGGGAAGGAAGGAGGGAGGGAGGGAGGAAAAACTCTAGTTATCAAGAATCTGAAGGCCATGACGTTTGCATTATATGATCAAGGTGGGTTAATGAATTCATACTTAGATAAGCATTTCAAACCAGAAAATACCAACCTCATTAAATAAAATTTACAATCCCAGTGATGCAAAAAATAACCAGGAATTTTAACAGAAAACATAACACCGGGAAATATTGCTCAGTTGATACTCTGGAGTGCACTTATTTTCAAGGAAAGAGCTGGAAGCCATCTGATAATAGTTTAAGCCCCCATCCAGTTGAGGAAAATGAAGAAGACAAAACTTTTAACCACTCTAACCTTAGAATATATGAGTTTTAGTTTTACTCAACATCATAGCAAAGTAAACATGCTTATTGTAGTGCCTGACCCAATAATGGGTCATTAAATGAAAAATGAACATATATAAAACAAAAGACTTATGTTAGTCACTGGTGGCAGCTGATTTTATATATATGTGTGTGTGTGTGTGTTTATATATGTATATATATTCATAGTGGATTGGGAAATTTATGAGGAAATAAGTCCTAGATGAAAGTATAAAGTTGTCAGAATGCACAAGTTGTAAGGATTACTAACTCAGGGACAAACAATGAAAGCTGTCTCATAACAGTGATACACGGGTATCAGCAGTAAATAATAAAGTGTTAAAAACCATAGAACCTGTGTGCAGGAAAATAAGTAATTTTTCTCCAACCAGTAAGTTATTTTTTTACTTCAGGAAATCCTCATTAGAACAAATGAAGATACTTTGGTAGGCTTTTTTTAGACCTTAGATAAATTAAGAACTCAATATCATAAACCAAAAATAGTTGACCTCATTTGTACCATCTTTGTTTCCACTGATATATATATATATATATACATAATTATATATAGTGGATATACATTTAATGGATAAAGTCCAATCTGCAAAGAAGAAATTATTTTCTAGGGATTTTTTAAAAGGTATTTTTGAATGTAAAATTCCACTTGTTCCTAAATTACCAGGGACAAGCCGATACCACTCTCTTACAATTTTCTTTTAATGGCTTTACATTTTTGCATGGGTCTTTTTTAAGTCTGACAACTCCCTATGATCCATTTAGTTACCATCAGTAACATATATAATAAAAGTTCCTTGCGTATTTACTCCTTTTCTCATTTAATGGGGTCAGGCATTATGATAGACAATACAATTAAAACTATAGCAATAAAAATTAACATGATCCCTGCACTGTAAGAGCTTATTGTCTAGGGTTATAAAGGTACAAGAATACAAATGAACACAAACTTACACTTGTGTAATATTCTGTGAAAGAAAACTAAATGGCTATGATTTACTTTAAGGAATATAATAAGCTTCTCTGAGGAAATGACTGCATTAAATTATGAATGAAATTAGCCAGGTGGTGGTGGTGGAGAGTGTATCCACGACTTTATCCGACGGGGAGAGAAACCACACAGTACAGAGCATGGAGATAACCACCTTTAACTCCAGTAATAGGGAAGCAGAGGTAGGAAGATCACAAGCATAAGGACAGCTTGGGCTATATAGATAGACACAGACTCCAAAGAAGGAGGAAAAAGTAGAGCAGAATGATAAAGAAGAAAAGGAGCAAAAGACAAGAATTTAAAAAAGAAAACTTGAGAAGTAAGAAAGCTCTAACAAATGAAGGAGCAGCAGATGTAAGGAATAGCTGTTATAGTGAGACAACAATTCAGACTTTGGAGAGAGCACTGTTATGAGTCACTGGATAGTGGAGAAGCTGCTAAGATCTCCATTGGTGACAATTCCTGGAATTCTATCTTCTGGAACTTGTGAGGAAAATGTCCTGTGAAGTTCCAGGAAAGCTATTCATGAAGAAGCAGTCTGCTACAGAAACACCAAAGGTAAATGCCAGGAAGAACTTCTGGTTGCTATGTTTTACAAGAGTCCCGTGCCCGGAGAACTCTGGTGTCAGCAAGCAGCTCATGCTTAAAATGCCTGACAAGAAAGGACACTCAAACCAAGAAAGACATTTTACTTCCTGCAATGCCTCTCAAGTTCCCTGGACAATAAGAGCTCTACCTCACATCAGCTGACAGAGGAAAAATATTTAAAGGGCCAGATATATTTGCACAAAACAAATCAGGAGGATATTTTGGAGATGAGAAGAAATAAATCTGTAACTGGCACAAAATAAAGGAACATATCAGTGTAGTAGATAACCTGCAAAAGTTGTTTGGAAAGAGCTCAACAGTTTGTAGGAATTAAAGAAAGCCAAAAGCCTTACCGTGAAGGAGAGTTGAGGTCTAAGAACACATCTGGAAATGATTTCTCTTCCTCCACTACTCTCTGGTGATACTAAGCTTTCTTTTGTTTCTCTTGTTTTACTTGTTTTCTCAGCTGGCAATCTACCACTGAACTTTTTGGGAGCTATTTTGGAAACAGAATTGTATTCTTCTCTGCCCAGGCTAGCCTTAAGCTTCAATCCTCACATATCTCCCTCATAACTGTGGAAATGAACCCCAAAACCTAGATATGACCCATTGACCCATTGACCATGTCTATATTAATTGACCCTATCTTCTGGCCATTAATTCAACATTTAATAAATACTAGGCCTGTGTGGATATTCACTATCATCCTAGTTATTAGCTGCGGTATCAGACTATAAGAACTTGGGTTCAAATACTGTCTCCATTCTGGTATACTCTCCATGATAGTATACTTAGTATACTGTACTAGAAAAATGAGTTAAAATTTGTAAAATGATGATCATTATAACTTCTTCTCAAGTAGTTATGAAGGTTAAATTAAGTGATTTATATGGGTTCTTTGGTGACAACCACTGTTTTATCTGTTCTCTGCCCTTATTAGTCTTTTTTTCTGTTTTCCCTTTCTACTTAGTACTATACTCCAATATAGGAAATTCATCATTGTTATATTTTTTTTCAGCACAGAGTGTATATAAACCTCAAAATGCTAAAGTATATTGAAACGATTTTCATCTCTATGTTTCCCTTACCATCTCTTCTCAATCTCAGCAGCTCCTGTTGCATTTTGTCTAACTCAATCAAGCTGAGCCAGTCTTCTTCGGTTAAACTAAAACTACCCAGTGAGCAACCTGATCCTACATCAGCACTTTCACATTTGCTGAACACCAAAACTTTTCCAGATTCCTTATAAAGCCATTTTTCTTGTAGCCATAAGTGTGATTATAATTTTTAGACTTAAAATTTTTATGTATTTTTGATAATTTTTTTTTACCAAATGTGTATTTACCTACCAAATACATAGACTAAAAAACCAGTGGTCAACAGTAGAATAGCTATTCTGCCATCTCATTGAAAATTAATTTCTCTAAGCCTAGATTGAAAGTTGTGAAGCACAGAACAGCCATATATTTTAGATGAATCTCTAGTGACCTTTAGAAAGTGCAGCATCCCTTCCAAAAAATGTATAGGATATTGGATTTGATTAGATGGAGAACCTACAGGTAATGCTGAACCAAAATAAAACTAGAAATATTGGCAGAAGACATATTATGAAACTC